GATTGGGAGGTTCCATGACACCCACATCTTTTCATACTTCTTTTTAAAAGTTCTATAGGCCCTATACGCTTTGATTCAGTCATTTAGAAATTAACCACTTCGTAGATTAAGTGCTGATGAAGAAATAAAGGGGTCTTTTTTCTTCTTTTTTTAAAGCTTATTATATCTCTATCTTGATATATTTAATAATACATTTGTTTGTAGATCTAGTTGTAGAAAGAACGCTGTATTATTGCTATTTAGAAACCTAGATAGCACGCCACGGCGCCCATGTAAAAATAATAAAAAAAATTAACAAGGACCAAGCTTCGCCTATCGCGTATGAGGGAGAGAGAAAACATGTCTAGCCCATTGCTTTAGCTTGAATTCCTTCACACATCTCGCCCACTGAAACATGGCGGACGCCGCTGTCAAATGTGGCCATCGCGCAGCAAGGCGAGAGAGGGGCGTACTGTATCTAGTGCCTATAGTGTACATCTATGGGCTAGAATCAATAGGCCTATCAAACGCCACAAGCTTAGCGTTATTATTAAGTACACGTAGAATAACACGCGGACAGAAGCATGGGTTCGTGTTGCGTATTTCTACACTTCTTTTCCAGGAGTCAGAGATATTTTTCAGAGCATGCAGAACAATACAAAACAGAAATACGGGTTTGCTTAGTGTTTATTTGAATTTTTCTATGTGTCAGAGAATAATTATAAACTATAATATGTACATAAACATACACACGGAAACATGTGTTTCTAAGTTGGATGGTTGGATGATACAACTTTTTGGTTATTCTTCTTCTGTTTTTCTCTCTTGTTTCTGTCTTTTAAACTTCACCAATTGACCAGTATTGTGTCGATGTACTTTAGATCTACTTAAGCAAAATAAAAACAAGTTCAAGCATGATTTTTTCCCCTTCTCTTTCCCTTTGTTCTTTCTGCCTTCTGTTTTATTATTTTAAACTTCGCCTATTGACCATTATGGTGTCGATGTGGTTATCTTTACTTCAATATGTAAGCACATGTATATTATGTAAGGCATTTCTCTTTTCTATTCCAGGAGTCGGCAGAGGATGACTGGTACAACAAAAGCCTCACCGCACTGCGCATGAACAATTCCCACCCGGGCCCGTTGTCCAATCAGATTCTGCCCTACCAAACGCAAGTGTGATTCCGCTCGACAAAACCAGCTGACGATCTGCCCGAGCTTACGTCAACAGTGTGGAGAGAGTTCATCAACCTATTAATAAACTAAATGGTTTTAGCGCAAAAACAGAGCTTCCCTCGTCTTCAAGTATTCGCAGTGCCAGCCTACGTGGACAGGGGTTTGTTCGTTCGACCCTGTGTGACGCTTCTCAACCGTTTTATATTATTTCTCTCCTTGGCTGGTCAGTTTTTTTCCTTCTGGACAGAGAAGAATGTACCCGGTGGGGCTCAGTTCGACTTGCTCCACGTACACAAGGGAAACGTGCAATAGATGCCACGCTTGTTTGTACGACTTTGTGAAGAAAAATTCAAGCTGCAAAAGAGATTTTCCCAGTTTACTGTTTCATAATTTTGATTATTCCCGTTGAAATGTAGGTGGGAAAAAGAATGCACATGTGTGTTTGTATAGAGAGAGAGAGAGAGAGAGTGTGTGTGTGTGTGTGTATGTGTGTGTGTGTGTGTATGTATGTATGTATGTATGTATGTATGTATGTGTGTGTGTGTGTGTGTCTGT